TTCAATGTTTTATTGTGAATTATGTAATAGTTTACATGGGAGAACATTAGTTTTACATTCATCCTATCGTATATCGTTTCATTGCCATGGTTACAATCCCCTCCATGCATCATCAACCAACGAAAGGGTATACACTACAATCCTGCCCCGCAGTCATTAGACGAAGATGTTTTAATGGGGATCTCTGAGGTCCCCTCAGATTATACCACTGATTCGTAAGGCTGGGCTTGGTTCACTGCAGACGTCTGCCTAGCCCTCTCTCCACCTCCAACCAGAACAGGCCAGCCAGGGTCCACACCTGGTGTGTGCCCCTGGTGTGGGGAGCCACGCCTCCTGCTGGCTACTGGCACACCGACAAGGGTGTGAAGGAGTACAGAAGGCCTGGCATACAGAAGGGCCCTCAGCCCCTTTCTCTGTGGCTCCAGGGGCCAGAGTAAGAAGGCAAGTGTTAGCCCTTAATAAGGAAGCTCTTGCTTCAGAATTCATAATTACAACAGAAGGGGCCCCTCTGGGCAGTGGAGAAGCAAGTAAGTATCCCATCACTTGAGGTGATCAAGCATAGGCTGGAGAATGTTCCAAAGAGACCAAGCGCTGGATGACTGGGACAGTTCATCAGCAGCATCACACTGCACAGTACTGGGACACTTGCTAACGGCGCCTTTGGACATTTTACCTTATTACCTTCCTTCCATGCCTTGTCTGCAATGTTATCTACCTCATACATGTGCCATAAAGATTAGAAGAGACAGTGTATGCAATGGTACAGTTGTTGGTATGCACTGAACTCCCAATACATGACAGATGATTGTTGTTGTTGTTGTTATGTGCCGTGGAGTCGGTTCTGACTCATAGCGACCCTGTACAGGGTTCCAAGGCTATAAATCTTTATGGGAGCAGAAAGCCTCATCTTTCTCCCACAGAACAGCTGGTAGTTTCGAACTGCTGACCTTGCGGCTCACAGCCTAATTTGTAACCACTACGCTACCAGATAGGCTGCATTATATGTCGCATATTAAAACGCAGTTCAAAACAGTCTAATAGCAGCAATTTCATATGTTCCAACACATATTTTTTTACTTAGGGCCACTGAAGTTCCTCCTAACCTCTTTGAGTTCAGCTGTGAAATTTGGTTCTGTGGATCCCTTGGCCCACCCGGCCCCTCCTGACAGGCAGGTACCTCCTTGCCCAGGTCCTCGCGGATGACCTGGCGGACCTCTTGCATGCTGCTCTGTGGGGCCTGGCTATGCAGCACCTTCAGCGTGCTGGTGTACTCCTCCGGCAGCAGGTAGTCCAGAGCCCCCAGGTGCTGGCCCACCTTGATGAAGGTGCCCCGGTTGGCACAGCAGAGCTCACAAAGACGCTTGGCAGAGCGAAGGTGTACCTGCAGGGACACAGACCAGGGCCAGAGACCTGTGAGTGCAGGCTGAGCTTAGTCATCATTTCCTTTCCTACCCTTCAACTTAAAACAAACATTTCATCCCCAGTGTTCAGGGTACACACACTTTCTCCTTCTCCTTTGGGCTCCTGTTACACAAAAAAAAGTCAACTTCAACCTCACCGTGAGACCAGCCTGCTCAGAAGGCGTCATCTAGACTTACCTGGCCGGGGTCCCATCACTCAAAAGCCAGCTTAGAAAAGCTGTTTAACTAAGTCTAATCTACTGAGTTCATGTGTTTGCCACCCGCCCCTAAGATATACTAATAGTACTTTGTTTGGAGCGCCACAATTTTAAAAACATGCACATATACATTATTTATTTTCATCCTCACAGTAGCCCTGGGAGGCAGGTACTGGTATCTTCAAAGACGAAGAACTCAGTTGTTTTGCTTAAAAAGAAATAACTAATCAATGTCAAAAAAAAAAAAAAAAATGTAGAAAAAAACTCCAAATCTAGGTCTTTTTAATCCCGGCATAAAAAGCTGGTATGGTGCTGTAGGATAAGCACTGGACCACAAGATCAATTTAAACTGCAAGGTCGGCGGTTCAAACTCACCAGTCGCCCTGAGTTAGAACTGATTCAATAGCACTTAACAACAATACCAACAGAAAGCTTTAGCAAGGGTATCCTATCAACCAGAAGAGTGTGGGGATATCTGACAGATGGGATAGACAGCTGGAAGGCTGTTGAGGGCAGAACAGCCTTAACTTATGCCCTGATACCCATCTGCCTTCCAGAGCCGGGAGGTAGCCCCATACGCCCCAGGCTGTGCATTGCCACAGCCCATCTGAGCGTCCTAGAACTACTGGGGTCTGCCTTCCAGGACCTACAGCCTCTGGGACAGAACAGGACAGTAGACACACATAGAAGACAGATCACAGAGCCCTTGGGGAATGAATGGTACCCCCTTCCACCAGCCAAGTTCACAAAGACAGACTGAACATCCGTGCTGGGTGTACACTCTGATAAATGCCCATGAAGGATGCCAACATAATTAAGCACACATTCCAGGCAATAAAGCCATGTGAAGAGTTAAACAGTAGTTAGCAACAAAGATGGAAGAAACGATCAAAGATCCTATATAATTAGCTGCCCAGTGAACCACACAGGAAACCGTCACTTTAGAAATTAAGAATATTGTAGTCCTGAACACACCCACATCCCAGCAGCCAGGGAGCCCATCTGCCCGCCTCTCGCCCCAGCAGAGTGGAGGCCTCAGAATCCAGGATCCGAGAGCTTCTGGCCTCTGCTGGACATATCTGCCCTTGCTTCCCACCCCAGCCCAATCTTGAGAAAACCTATGTACACCTGAACCCACCCACCTTCCTGGGGGCAGTCCTCCCATGTTGAGAATACCTGGTCCAAGCTTGACCAATGAGAGTCTGTTTTCTCTGCCAGAAGGGTGCAGGAGGGAAGAAATTAATTCTGAGAATTTTGTAAAAGTATGCATGCCCCTGGAGTCCCAGACTCTGTAAACTGCTAGCATAGTAGGCTGTCAACTAAAAAGATGGTGATGGTGGTGGTGGTGTGCCGTGGAGTCGGTTCCAACTCATAGCGACCCTGTATAGGGTTTTTGAGGCTGTAAGTCTTTACAGGAGCAGAAAGCCTCATTTTTCTCCCATAAACAGCTGGTAGTTTCGAACTGTTGACTTTGAGGTTAGCAGCCTGATTCATAACCACTATGCTACCACAAGTGCCTCAAGTGGTCTGATTGTGAGGGTTGGAAATGTAAGGGTAGACGTTTGGAGTGGCGTGATTAACTTTTTAGTCTAGGAGCAGAGGTCCCTGGGACCATCAAGGGAGAAGAGCGGAGAGCGTCCCAGAGAAGCAGTGATGCCTGAGATGGAGGCAGAGACGATGATGAGGAGAGATGGAGCAGCTGGGGACGTCAGACACAGAGAGGGAGAGGGGATGTGTGCCGACGACCGGGGGGCAGGTTTGTAGTGTATACCCTTTGGTTGGCTGATAATACATGGAGGGGATTGTAACCATGGCAATGAAACAATACATGATAGAATGAATGTAAAACTAATGTTCTACCATGTAAACTATCACATAATTCACAATAAAACATTAAAAAAAAAAAAAAGATAAGCCACTGGAAACACTTTGGAATGCAGTTCTACTCACACAGGGTCACCATAAGTAGAAATCGAGACAGCAATAAATTTGTTTGTCTGCTATGTATAACCCTAGATGGATCAAAGGGTTGGTGGGTGGATATTCTCTTTCCTAAGGATTTGAAATTGGGGGTAGAGCTGACCAGTTGTCAGACGGTGGGGACATGTGGAATGAGGTGGAATCAGTGCTAAGGCTGGTGAAAGCCTCACACCAGCCATGGAGCTGAAGGAGTGACTAAGAAGGCGTGGCAGAGTCTGGCCAAATAACAAACTGTGTATCTCCTCATACTACAAAGGTTCCGGTCAAGAACTGAGCAACTTCATACAGCGTACATCATCATCCTCCAACTCTGCCACAGCAGACGGGAAAATGCGAGTTCACCAGCAGGATAACAGGCAGTGGAAAGGCAGCCACCACACACTGGTCCTGAGATGCTGGTATGATCAGAGCCCCGAGTCAACAGTGAGCTGCCCAGGTACCCAGCGGCTGCTCAGCCAATGAGTAAAGGGCACATTCAAACCCCCGCAGAGCTGTTCTGTATCTAGCTGGAGAATTGTCACATATAACACCAAACAGAAGTGAGGGTTGGAAGACGGGATGTAGACACACTCTACTTTCCTCTCCCCTTCCATAAAAACGCCAACTACCACGTATTTACTGGATGCTTACTGTCTTTCCAGAGTCCCTGGGTGATTCAAGCAGTTAACATGTTCAAACGCTAACAGAAAAGTTCAAGGTCTGAGGTTACCCAGAGGCACCTTGGGGGAAAAGCCTGGAGATGAATTCTAAAAATCAGTCACTGAAAATTCTATGGAGTCATTTTGTACTCTGACACACACAGGGTCACCATGAGTTGGGATTTGCTCAACAGCAACTGGTTTTTAGAGTATGCCCAGCACTGTGCTAGCACTCAAGTGGGATGTGAAAGCAATAGTGCTTGTCCTCCATCATCTGGGGAGACACAACAGAGCTACCCAGAAAACCGAGAACAAGTCAGGAGACAGGAATGGCCGTGTGTGCTGTGCAGGCTCACTCAGATAATAGAAATAAAAGGGCTGGAATTAGAAGAGAGACTGGATTCAGGGGGAGGTGGGGACTGAGCAGTTCTGAATGCATTGCCTACCAGCTCCAAATCGATCCTTCTTGGCCAGGCTTTATGATGCAGGAGCTGGGCCCTGTATTGCTTCTGCTTTGTCAGGTGACTCAGCTTGGTCGATAGGGAGCTCTGGAGGGACTCTGTGAATCCACAGCAGGATGAAGGGGTTTCCCTTACTGGATCCAGAGTGCTGTTTCCAGCATGGCAGTGTGTAAGAGGGTTCATCTACTTCAAGACCCTCGCAGACCACCTGTGGCCCACACCAACCACTAAGTGTTTCCACCTCCTGTGGTGGACGCCTCCTATGGACCAATCTGACTCTTAGTCTCCAGTGACTTTGAGCACCCAGGGAGCTGTACTTCAGTTTCTTTGCCATGTGACAGATTCCTCCTACAAACCAGCGCAGCCTCCACCCTCCCGAAGGTTTCTCCACCACCAAGCTGGCCACTCCGAAATACCAGTTCCAGCCCCCACCCTCCCACAAACCTTTCTGCCACCTGGCAAGCTGCTCCTATGGACCAGCTCTGGCTCCTGTCTTCCACGCCATTTCATCACAGGCTTTCTGCCAAGACTGTGTGTTCCTGGGTCAGCCCTGTCAGCTTCAGCAAAGTCTGCATCCCACCCTTGGGGTTAGGGAACTCTCCGTTAAGTTCTGAGTCCCTCCCTTGTTCATTCTCCCTCAGCCCTGGAGGCAGATGCTGCTTTACACATTTGCCCCTTCTGTAGCCTTAGAATCTTCTTTTACTCCTTTTGTTGCTGTTACGTGCCATCAATTCCAACTCATAGCAACCCTGTATAGGGTTTCCGAGGAGAGCTGACCTTGAAGTTCAAATCAACCTTGTGGTCCACTTCTTATCCTACAGCACCACAACAGGCCCTTTTAGGTGTCAACAATTCTTTAAATGTTTCCTGTTCAAATTACCAGTGTGACTGCATCCTGTCTGCTACATAGGGTTGGCCTGTGACACTGAATTTGAATAGAATAAAATGAAAAAGGAGGACATTTCAGGTCAAGAGAACAGCACAAGCAAAGGTGCACACACACGTACAAGTGTGTGCATGTGTGTGTGTCATACTGAGGGATACAGGTGCTGGAAAAGATACTGCTGTTGTTGTTAACTGCCGTTGAGTTGGCTCCAACCCATAGCGACCCTGTATGGGGTGTCTGAGGAACAGATGGTGGGTTTGAACCACCGTCCTCACAGTTTAAACTGACCTTGCAGTCCAGCGCATTAGCCTGCAGTGCCACACCAAGAAGATACTAGTTCCTAAGAAAGACCTGCTCCAGCGCTTTCTTTAGACTGCCCACACAGCCCTCACAAACCAACAGCCTCACCCTGCCAAGCCCACACACCAGTAAGCAGGATCAAGCTCTGCTGCCAGTCACCTGTAGCTTGAGCAGGTCTCAGGGAGTGTCTCTGGGCACAAAGAAATGGCCAACTGCAGGAGACACTGTCTGGACAATGCACAGAGAGTCTCTGGTCACACTATCCCTGCTCATCAGTTACATGGGACATCAGTTCTTGGGGGCAGAGACTGTGTGTATCTTCTGAATGCTCTGTCCACCTCAGGACACACTGTGCATGCTCTGTAAATGTAGATTGACGATAACTATGGGTCACATGCTCACAAAACCATCATCCATGAAACTGAGTCAGCATCTACTGCAAATGACACCCACATTTCAATTAAAGAACCCCCAAAGTCACCTTCAACCAGCTTCTAA